AACAAATACTCCATTCGTCCACTTTTAATTGTTATAGTTTTCTTTTTATAGAGTTAAATTATAAGAATTTTGACTAATAGTTTACGATGTATTTTTTCATCATATTGATATGCAAAAAGTTGTAATTTATAGTACTTTTCGTATAGTTTTTTAATATCAATTTTTTTTTTAAATGTCAAATTAATGTAATCTAATTTAACTTTGAAAATTAGTTAAATTCATGACTTTCGAAAAGCTGATTATAGATGTGCCAAAGATTCCATTTGCCAGAATACACAAGGGCACTATACATGCACCTGCCTTAGCTTCCATAATTTAATGGTAATGGTACTGTAGGCAATCCTGACAATCTCACGGAATAACTCATAATATTGATCTTCTTATAGGTACCTCTCTTAACTTCTTTCAAAATACAACTACTTGTTTAATTATTTCTTGCAAAACCGTGTAACTCGTCCATATAAAAAAGAATATCATCTTTCTATGGTCAGAAACAATTTAACTTTAAAATTACCCCTTTTTACCTAAATTAAATAGTCACAGTACAAATGGCCAACGAATGGCTTAAACAATAACAGATTTCGAAATGGGCAAACTGTTATGATCAATGTTTATATATTTTTATTATAGGGGTTGCTTTTATGGTTATTATTGTTTTTGGCTGGTCATATACTGCATTCCAAAGGAGAAAGATGTTAATAATGAAGAAGCGTTTTCCAAGAAAATGGTGGATTAGTTCAACAAGGGGAAGAGCTGGATCAAGTAATACTATCACAGTAAAGATTTTCACAGCGGAAGAGCTAGAAAAGGCAACTAATGACTTTGACAAAGATAGAGTTGTTGGTCAAGGAGGTTATGGAAGTGTGTACAAAGGATATCTGAAAGACAGCTGCATCGTTGCTATCAAAAAATCTAAGGTAATTGATGGCAATCAGATTGAACAATTCATAAATGAAGTCCTTGTAGTGTATGAATTCATTAGCAATGGAACACTTACATGATAAAGTAAAAGCCTCTACTCTTTCTTTGGATATTCGTCTGAGAGTTGCTGCAGGAGTACTTTCCTACTTGCACTCAACTGCGCGCTTACCCTCCTATCATTCATAGAGATATTAAGTCATTAACATTCTTTTAAATGTTAAAGGGGATGATCGACCTACAATGAAGGAAGTTGCAGCAGAATTTGAAGGTGGATCGAAATTGAAACACTCATGGCCGGGCTCAAGCTGATCATCATTCAAGGGAGATAAAGTCCTTATTGCATGGCACTCATGCCATTGAGATTTGGATACGAATATAGTGAACACAATATATTTACATGTTGATAGTATAACGAGTCATGTAGCTTTACCATTTCCTGGAGGTAGGTGATCGATCATGCATGTTAATTATATATTTTGCTCAGCAACACAAACTCAGAACGGTCACAACTTCAACATGAATTTCTTCTTTTTCTCTTGGGCACGTTAGAAATAAGAACTAATTAAGTTTCATTTAGTTGAATCTCTTTTATTTGTCCAGAGATAATAAATTTGAGTGCCAAATGTACTTGTTTATGTATCCCAATAATAATCTACACATTTTGATGATGTTCTTCTTACACTTGAACATTCCTTTTTAATTTGTTTTGTTGCTCAACTCATATATTTTGAATGTATTTTTTGTGCAAGATCTTTAAATTAAAAAACAAAATTAAAATTGTTGATTTTAGTTTAAATTAATTTTGATGATTGAGAAGCATTTATAAAAAGAATTATGTCCTTACAAGTTCTGAATTATGTCATTAGCAAATTTATTGGAAGAATTGAATTGCAATACTTGTATGCACACAATGAAAGAATCAATTCATTTGCAATTGGCAAAAGAAGTTGAGTTAGCAGATTGGGAGGAAGTTACACATACTCCAGCTTCTTCAAATGTGATAGCTAAGTTGATGACTCTTTGTTCAAGTATTCAATACAGCTACCAGGCCACCCAAAGTGGTTTCAAGGATATGAATGTGGAACTTCAGCTAGAGGCTTTGCATATGGTATCACCTCATAAGATATATAGTTCTGGAGGTGGTTGAACATGTTAAGAATGTGAAGCAATCAATTATTTTACGTCAGGATCAAAAGGGTGATAACTTCAATGGGTCCTTTCCTAAGGAATTAACTAGTTCCTTATTAAGGATATTTTGGATGCCCTATTCAATCTGTTATGCAAGCTAGCTAGGGGTCCATTAAGGGCCAGTCAGTGGTCGAGAGGATACTTCAACGTAGAGTCCAACTATGGATCAATGGTGTTGGGTATTCATAAATGGTGTCCTAAATTTAGCCAAATTAAATTGGACAAATAGTATAGCAACAACATGCTATAGTTCAAGCAGGTATACGAGAGGCTTCATTTAGCATAAATCGTCTTCTTCAGTTGTTGGGTGTGGGTAGCCATATAAGAGGTAGAGATGGCACTTAGCCTAACATATATAGGTGGTGGTGGTCAAGCAAGTAGAGACAATACTCAGCCTACCAGGTGCAACTCACAGATACGAGGTAGGCATCACTTCTATGCCTTCTCAGGTAGATACGAGATGTGAGGCATCCAACACAATGATCACATGTACCATTCGTATTTGTGACCGAATGGATACATCGTTTTTTTATCCTGGTTTTACTTTTTCTTATGCTTCTACTTAATTTGGTGTTTGTCTGGGCATGATTAATTTGTGAGTCTCTTAATGTTCTTGTGTATGTTTTTACTCCTATGGCAGATTCTGTGATGGTTGATATAATCTATCATTCACCTGTGGTAATTTTTATGGGTTATAAGATCTATGTAGATTAGGTAATTTTAGCTAGGATAGATTTTGATGTTATCATGGATATGGGTTTTTTTTTTTTTATCTCTGTATCATGTCATTTTAAATTGTCATGCTAAGAGTGTTTCTATATCTATATATGTCTGGGATGTCTAAATTAGTGGGAAAGGAGAGTTGTTGTCCTTTCTCTAAAAAAAGGCATATCCTATATATATATTCATGCTAACAAGTTAGTGGAGAGAGTGTGTTTAGCATTCCTAGCCCATTTTCAAGATACTAGCATAGAGCTAGGTCCCTTCTATTGGGTCAGTTTTTCAGTATTAGGGTTAGTTTCAATGGTATGTGATTTCTTAGAGGTGTTTTCTACTGATTTACCTGGCATGTCACGAGACTATTGACTTCTTAGAGTATGTGACTTCTTTGGGTGGACTCAACAAGATTAATTGAAAATAGCATTTGGTTTGTTTTGATAAAATTGAAAGTTATTATATTTGGTTTTTGTTTTATAATGGTGGTTTTATATATATATATATATATATATTATTTGATTTGAGTTTTAATTTAATGGGTTGCGGGTTGGATTTATTTGAGAATTCGTTCTAAATGAGTAATTTTGAACAGATTGGAGGAAAATCGTTAATGTAGAGATATATGTGATAAGTTTTATGATGATAAAGATATAAATAGTATGATTTAACTAATAAATAAAAATTAAGGATATTTTTTACTTTTTCCTTATTTAAAATTTTGTACTAAATACCGGATCACACATTGTGCGAAACCTGAAACTTGTACTACCAAGTTAGCAGTAGAATTTGTGCTCCTAAAATTACTATAGTCCTATTATTTTTCTATGGTCAAAAGTTTGCAGATATATATATATA